GGGCTAGAAGATCTACTAGGTCTCTTCCGACCCTAAATCTGTGAAACTATGAAACTATTTAGATATGCTTGCACGTCTTGTAACCAGCCTGCTTAATTTTTGCTTTGAGTCAGTGACTCCATACAAATGTACCCAAGATAAATGGAGAACTAGTGAATACTTGGCATGACTACATGTGCATTTACACTGGCTTAAATGTACTGTGCAGTAAATTACTGTGTAGTAAGCAGGAATAGGCCAGCGCCTACATGTGCAGGTGTCTTGGGACTAAATTTAGTCCCAGGTCAGAGCAGCCTGCCATGTGCCTTTGTGGCCACTGTGGCCATGTGCCTTTGTGGCCACTCTGACCACATGGCTGCCAGCCCTTGGGACGAACTCAGGGGTGGGCAATTATTTCAGGTGGAGGGCCGCTTGATGAGTTTTGGTGAGTTGTCAAGGGCCACATGGGTAGCCCTGCCCCTTCAGTTGCCCCACCCTGTGGTTACCATCTTGGAATTCCTGCCCCCTGAGCTCTGACCTTTGCCACCAGAAGTCCCTCCCCTTGCACAACTTACCAGGTAGCAAGGGGTTGTGACCCCTCTAACATCCTGCCTCAGCACTGGGGTTTCAAGGGCATCAGACCTCCCCCAGAACTTTCCCCCTACCTGTGCCAGCTGGTCCCAAAAGGAAGAGGCTCTGCCACTGCTTCTTCTGGCCAGTCAGGCTTGCCCAGTCCCCAGCAGCACATGGGAAGCTGGCATCAGCTGCATGCTGCTCTGGATGGGATGACCCAGCTGGGTCTGCACTGGCCAGGAAAAGTGGCATGCAGCTGAAGCTGGTTTCCCATGCACTGCTGGGGATGGGAGGAGCCCAACCGGGTCTGTACCAGCCAGCAGAAGTGGCGTGGGAGCCATGTGCCGCTTGGGATGGGATGAGCCTGGCCGAAGCAGCAAGGGCTCAGCTGCACTTTCCCGCTACCTGTACCAGTCAGTCCTGAGTGGCACACGGCTCTGATACCGCTTCTGTTGGCCGGTGCAGACCAGGCCAGGCTCTTCCCATCCCCAGCACCATGTGGCTGAAGCCAGCGTCTCACGTGCTGCTGGGGACGGGAGGAGCCCGGCCAGGTCTGCACCAGCCAGCATAAGCAGCGGTGGAGCCGTGTGCTGCTCAGGACGGGATGAGCCCGGCTGGAGCGGCAGGGGCTCAGCTGCACTTTCCCGCTGCCTGTGCCTGTCAGTGTTGAGTGGCACATGGCTCTGCTGCTTCTGCTGGCTGGTGCTGACCTGGCCGGGATCCTCCCATCCCTAGCAGCATGCGAGAAGCCCACTTCAGCTGCATGCTGCCTTTTCTGGCCGGTGCAGACACGGCCGGGTCTGTCCCATCCAGAGCAGCATGCAGCTGAAGCCAGCTTCCCACGTGCTGCTGGGGTCAGGGTGAGCCTGGCCAGCAGAAGCGGCGGTGGAGCTGTGTGCTGCTTGGGACTGATCAGCACAGGTAGGGGGAAAATGCTGCTGAGCCCCTGCTGCTCTGGCTGGGCTCATCCTGTCCTGAGTGGCACACGGCTCTGCTGCCACTTCTTCTCCCTGGTGCTGACTGGGCTGGAGCTGTGGTCCAGCTGCTGCTTCCCCTCCCTAGTGCCGGCCCAGCCATACCCTGCATGGCCCGAGTGGCATGGCATGGGGAAAGCTTGCCCAGCAGCCACTTTCCTGGGCTTACCTGCAGGGCAGGGCCCTTTCCAGTCCTGTGCAGCAAAGCAGAACCCGGCTCAGACACTTTCCCCTCACTGGCGCCACAGGTTCTGCTCCAGCCCCCTGACCCCTCTCAAGCTGCAAACGTGGCCTGAGCCAGGGGCGGGGCCAGCTGGGTCAGGCTGAGTTCAGGGTTGGTTGCCTTGCAACCAGCACCCAAGTAAACAGTCTGAAGTGCTGCAGCCAGCGGCTGGTGCCGCTGGAGGCTTTTAGAGAGACAGCTGCCATTATGTGGGTTTTGAAGGGGCTCTGCGGGCCGGAGGGAAGTGCTTGGTGGGTGGGATGCGGCCCGTGGGCCGTATTTTGCCCACTCCTGGACTAACTTCAGTCCCAAACTGGAGCCAGAGCTGGCTGCCAGCACTTGGGACTAACTTTAGTCCCAAGTTGAAGCCTGGAGTGGCAGCTAGCCAGGAGCCCTGAAGCTGGGCTAAGGCCGGCCCCCTAGTGGCTGGGCCGACCCAGCAGGGAGGCCCTCTGGGTTACTGTGCAGTAATGCATCTACATGTGTGTTACTGTGCATAACTAATTGGACATAAATTTGATACCTGCCTCAGGCAGGTATCAAATTTATACTCAAGTGGGCGTAAGTCACCATATTTACTGCACAGTACCGGTGTGTACGTGTAGATGTCTGCCTGTACTTTGCAGTAATCTCAGTTACTGTGCAGTAAATGCGCATGTGTAGACGTGCCCCTTGTATATGTTTCTCATCAAAGATGCCTAATTTTTTAGGACTTCTAGTCCTATTTGATTTGTAGCCTAACTTTCATGGGGTAAGGGGGCAAGTTATTATTATGTAGTAGCTCTTTTTTTTTTTGGCCTTTTATTCATTTTAGACCACAATGGATATTACAAGAGGAAACCTGGATGAAATTTCAAGGCCTGCGTCTAGCTCCAGAGCTCATCTTGGTAGCCGAGCTTCAAGCGCATCTTTGGAGGTGTTAACACCAGAGCCATGCTTATCAAAGGTAACTATGTTAATCTTTGGCACATCACAACCTTTGTCTGAAAAGAAGAAAAGATAAAATCTCTCTTGTTAAAACTTTGTAATGTGCTTTGTGGTTTATGATAAAAATTGCTGTGTGAGTGCTCATCAGTATTTTTCAAAAGAAATGGTAGACTCAAAACCAATACCCTATACACCCTAAAGTATGCTTCAGGTGTTAATGTGTGGACAATTCTGGCAGTAGCATAGTAACAGGGAGTGGGGGCATACTTGGTCCCCTGGTGGCACTTATGGTTTTGCCACCGGCATTTCTGGGCTTGATGATCAGCCGCCAGGGGACTTCCCCCCCGCCTCCACTTAGCCACTGGAGGAACCTCCCGCTCGGCAATTGGCTGTGGGGGGAGGCAGCGCAAGTGGAAGCACTGACTCCCGGGTGCCAGAGACCCATGGTACGCCACTGATCCCAGATGTTAAGAGCACAAGTTGCTGCCTAAAATTAATGCATAACAAGGCCCTTATATAAGTGCGTAATTTGCTGAATTGCATTACAAAATACTGGTCCTAGTACAGGTTTCCCTTGCTTTATGCTGTACATGCTTTCCTGGAAAATGGTGCGTAACTCCAATTTGCGTAAAGGAAACCCATTTTACAATGTAACAAATAGGGATACGTTCCAAGACCTCAACTGTACTGAACCCTGGACCCATTTCTACCACTTTTACAAGACAATTTTGGTACTCACCAACAGCAGACAGTACCCACAAGCACAGGGCACTATCATAATGGGTATGACAACTACAGAAACGTGTCACAGACAGTGAGCAAGCAGAACAGATATACACAGGAGGTTATATTTTGGTGTGTGTCACTCACACAATGCACTGCACAGATCAGCTGACTACGGGCTTCTACCACACCGATCGCAGAAGGGTGAATTTACCTTGCATATAATGGATTTTTTAAATAAAAAGAGTCATCGCATAAGACTGAATTCGCACATACAGAACTCCCATAAAGCGAGGGAAACCTGTACACTGTAACAAATTCTAGTTATCTGCTTTTTGACAAAGTACATAAATGCTTAAGTATATAGCCGTGTACCTCAGCTTCACTATTTTGTAACTTTATTCTACTTAACTTCTTGTTTACTTTAACTTTAACTAGTAGTATTTGCTTTACATTGTAACTAGTTGTACTCCATTTAGCTGTTTCAGAGGCACTGAAGTACAAATAATTGGAACCTTAAAAGGGCTGGAGATTAGTCAGTTTCAGACCTATTTTACCTTCTTTCAAGACTCCTTATAGCAGCTCAAAAATTGACAATTAGAAGCCTTGACAATGATGGGAACTAATCAGATTTGGTGGTGCTAATACCATTATGCTGACAATGCTGTGTATGTTATCAGCCTATCTTATATTAAATTCAGATAATATAATGTGGGTAAGTGTCTGTTCGGTGTGCAAATATTGTAAGGCTTTTTTGTCATAGTTACAGATAAAGTCTAGAAGTGACTATCAGGTAATCTAGTCTGCACTCTTGTAGTTAGCCCATTAAAATGTTGCCCAGATACCCCTAAATTAAACTCAAAGACTTCAGCTGGAGTAGGGCTTTGCTTATCTCCCAAAGATTGAATAAGAGAGGTCAATGTACCACAATGCCAGGTGCCTTCTAGGAGCAGGAAATTTATCAGTGTACATGCCAAACTCCTAAGGTCCATTCCAATCTGACATGGAGAAAAATTTCTTCCCCATCCCAAATTTGCCACTTAGTATATGACACTGAACCTGTGAGAGAGACACATTAGCCAGCTCTCTATGAAAGAACATTGTTGGTATGAGTTGAGAGTACTACTTTATTTGTAAAGAAGCCTGAGATCCTTGGCTAAGAGTACTTGCAAGTATATTGTTAACATTCGTAACAATGCGTGATTTTTTTTCCTAACAGGTCATTCCTACATTTGTGATCAGTATTAAATTTTACCCAATTTTAGGTTGATTATCAAGGTGATTTGGACAGTGATCATAAACAAGACAATTCAGGAAAGAGCAGTTCAGAAGAAAACCAGGATAACAGTAGAGAGAAATATAAAACCCAGAAAATGAGAACACTGCAACAAACCATGGAGGAGGAAACTACCTGCATTTTCCAGCAGATGCAGAATTCTGAGTTGTCAGGTAGGACAATGACTGACTTCAACCTGTTGCTTAGCTCTACAGAAGATAGTTTTTGAATAACTAGCTAGATTCTGCTTGCAGATACTGCTGTAATAAATATAGTGCTAGATCAGAAGCTGTGCACTTAAAGTAAGCTGTACTGCTGTTTTACAGGTTGGTAAATAGAACAAGTTATTTATCCGCTGCTTCAAAGTTATGTAGGGTTGAAACCGACATTGCCTGACATAGTGTTTGTGCTGCTATAATAATTTTTGTGGTGGCACAAAAGCTGAGAAAATAGACATCCTTACCCTTTGTCATATCACATCAGTGTGTTGCTTTATTGTGCCTGATGTCTATTTGCTCTGCAGTGGTAGAGTATGGGCAAGTTTGGGGGAACTAATCCTGTGCACCCTGGGTAGGATTGCATCCCTCTAGGCTGCAGAACATCTATATGACTTGTCCAACTTACAGAGATGCCCTGGGTGTCCATGGATTTCTAGGGGCATCTCTGCAACTGGGAAAGCCTGTGCAGGCCCCCTGCTACCATGCAAAAGGACTTGCTGACCTGTGCTTCATGCAGAGGCCTGGGTCAGCACTGGGTCTGTCATGAAGACATGGGGAGCTGGGGAATCCCTGGCTCCTGTGCCACTCTGTCCTGTGCTGACCTGTGTTTTTGTGTGAAGCATAAGTCAGCATAGGTCCTGACGAGGTGCAGGGAAGAGCAGGATCTGGGGAGTTCCCAGCACCCTGTGCCTCCATGCCAGTACCTGTGCTGACCCATGTCTTTGGATTGGTTCAGGATGTGGTGCAGGTCCCAGTTAGAGGCACAGGGCCTTGGGAATTCCCTGGCTTCTGTGCCGACTTGCACCTCCCCTGGCTGGGACCTGTGATGACCTGTGCTTCAGGTGGAGGCATGGGCCAGAGTGGGTGCTGTGTAGTCCCTGCGCCAACCTGTGCTTCAGGCTGAGGAATATGGGAGAGTGGCAGCCAGGAAATCTACATTGCCCTTCACCTCATTGCCAGGACCCCTGTTGGCACAGGTTAGCCTAAGTCCCCATGTGGAGGCATGGGACACCAGGGATTCCCCAGCTCCTGTACCACCATGTACCTTTACACCACCGCATACTGGGAACTGTGTTGACCTGTGCTTGCACAGGACCTGACTTGGGGCAGCACGGAGCCCAGGGATTCCCTGGGTTCCTTTCTGTCTTGCATCTAGGGAACATATTGTCCCCTTGCCCACAGTGATGTGTGTGTTGGACATGTCCTACCACAGTTGATACACTTTGGTTGGCAATGTCTATTTCTACCCATAGAGATTCTGTGTAAGAACTAGGAATAAAAGAGGTACCTTGATTTCCCTGTTCTGTGTTTTAACCCCCAGATCTCAACATAATGATAAGTACCCTTTTTCTATACAGTGGGGAATTGTAATGAGTGTATTTTATGATTGACATGAAAAAATGTATTTAATTCTCTTGATGACTGCTTCAGTCATCTTTAATTATAGATTATTTCAAATAATTTATTATTATTATTATTATTGACTTTGTTTTTCAGAATACATTTCTAGCTCAGATTCTGGAGAGGATTGTGCTGAAACTGAGCCTCCCAATTTAAATGAAGCTTCTCAAGAGCAGCTAACTAATGTAAAAGAAGGTATTATGAGATGTATTAAGTGAATAGTGCAGTTTCCATTTCTTCTCACTTCTTTCAGTTAAGTGTGGCAGTAGAGGACTTAATTAAGGATGTGTGTATGTTTTTAGTGCAGTAAAAGAAGGAAAACAATAACTGTGAATGTGACATGAAGTTAAGAATTTACACATGAAGGATGATACATTTCATATTTTAGTGGGTATAATTAGCCAATAGGACTCATGCTGTACTAGATGTTACAATGAATAGGTCATTAGTATTCTAAAAGGTTCAGGTAAATAAAACCAACCCAAGTTCCTGATGCTACTCTGGGTTTTGTCAGCTCAGAAGCAAATAAGCAAGCAGAACTTGGTGATGGGGAGACTTTTTGGACCAATGGTGCAAGTCCTCTAAAATAGGGGTGCCCAACTCCCATCCTGTGGACCATGTCATGTGGCTTGCAGGGCTCCTTATGCATCGGTTGGGAACCCACAGGCCATGGTCTTGCACAAGGCCCAATTCTGGCAAGTGAGGCTGGCACATGGACCATCTCTGTGCCACTCATCTGCCACTTGCTCATTTGTGACTTAGAACTATAGAAAATTAGGGTTGGAAGGGACCTTAGGTCATCTGGTCCAACCCACTGCTCAAAGCAGGACCATCCCCAACTAGATCATCCCAGCCAAGGCTTTGTCTAGCTGAATCTTAAAAACCTCCAAGGATGGAGAGTCCACCACCGCTCTGGGCAACCTGTTCCAGTGCTTTACTACCCTCCTGATGAGAAAATTCTTCCTAATATCCAACCTAAACTTCCCTTGCTGCAACTTGAGACTGCTGCTCCTTGTCCTGTCATCTGCTACCACTGAGAACAGTCTAGCTCCATGCTCTTTTGAACTCCCCTTTCAGGTAGTTGAAGGCTGCTGTTAAATCCCCTCTCAGTCTATTCTTCTCTAGACTAAATCAGACCAGTTCCCTCAGCCTCTCCTCATAAGTCATGTGCCCCAAACCCCTCACAATTTTTGTTGCTCCCCATTCAACTCTCTCCAGTTTGTCCACATCCTTTCTGTAGTGGGGGGTGGGGGGAGGCAAACTGAACACTGCTCCAGGTGTGGCCTCACCAGAGCTGAATAGAGGGGAGTAATTACCTCCCTTGACCTGCTGGCAACCTTCCTACTAAGGTAGCCCAGTATGCCATTAGTCTTCTTGGCAACACTGCTGGCTCATATGCATCTTACTGTCCACTGTAATCCCCAGGTCCTTTTCTGCAGACCTGTTGCCCAGCCAGTCAGCCCACAGCCTGTACTGGTACATGGAATTCTTCTGTCCTAAATACAGGACTTAATTAAATGAAGCCCCATTCAAGAATCCAGTAGTTTCAGGATCAAATTCAGCAAGATCCATGGCCAGCTAGAAGAGACAGTCCTAGCTATCTTCTGTGCTTGTGTTGCATATGGAGCCCAAACAGATTTTTAAACCTGGTAGAACTACTAATATCCTTCATGGTGAATTCTGTCTTCTACCACAGGTAATCTCTTTGCCTAACTGGGTCTAGTACTCCCTCCCTTGGCTTTGGAGATAGTTGTTCAGCTAAAAGAGCAGCTCTGATATCTGCTCGAAAAAATGTTACTTTTATTCTGCTACAGCTATCCAATGGTAGAAACCACATACTTACTTACAAATGCCAGTGAAGAACTGTATTCCTACTGAAATTGCTGGCAAAATCCCTGGCAGTTTAATTGGCTTGTTATTTAGTTTAATTGAACTTTTTAAGCCAGCATCCTTTTTAAAATCTTAACTGCATTACATTTTACTAATCTAGAAGTTTGTGAAGAAAAAGATGTGGATCCTAAGATTCAAGAAGCTATAAGAAAGATGAATAAACTGGACAAGATCTTGGCAAAGAAACAATCTCAAGAGAGAACAATTAAAAAACAAGGCAGAGAAATGAGGACAAAACTCTGGGAGGAACTTCAGGTTAGAAATATGTCACTTTTTATCATACTAATAAAATATCTTCCATCTTATAGAAGGGAACAGCGTGATTTCACAAACACAGATTGTAATTCAGTAGTTACTGGCTGACCAAGAACTTCAACATGAGAAGGAAGAAAAAGTTGTGCAAGTCATTCTGCCATTACTCGGATATCTGAGGGAGATCTAAAATTATTCAAAGTTACACTTATGTTGGCCATGACATACTTGAAACTACTAAGTTGTTCTTAAAAACTGAGCTAATGTATAACTGACAAATCGTGACTAACATTTGAAAAAGTAGAGCTTTTTATGACATCCAATTTTATTTTAAAAAATACTTTTTACAGGTTGTGTAGGTAACTTGTAGAGATCATTATATTAGTGATTTTAAATGAAATTTCATTAGTATTTTAAAAGGTTCTGGTTAATAAAACCATCTATTGTTAGGATAAACATTCAGAAAGGATAAGTTGCCCTCATGCTGGAGGTTGTAAATCACCATTTGGGGGGGAGGAGCGAAAATAGTCCGTGGCTTAGTTTTTGGAAATGTTACTAGGAGCAACTAGGATGACAGTTCTTAAGGCTATCTATTCCAGTATTCTGTCTCTTATAGTGACTGTTAACTTGCTTCTAAAGTGTATGTGATGCACCCCCCTCCCCCCGTATACACGTCATCTTGGTCTCTAGCAGTTAGAGATTAGCTTAAATGTTGAAATATGAAGCTTAATATCTCCTTCAAAACTTGGTATACTCAGTAATGATGGCACTATCCATGTGAATGTCCATGCCTCATTTTAGGGATGTGCGGAACTTTGGTTGCTGATTTGATTTGGAGGAGATTTGGCCCGATACAGAGGCTGAATCTTCAACACCAAATTGAATCGGGAGACCAATAAAAAGGTCCGAATTGATTCAAAGCCTCCGAATTGATTCAGAAAAGATTTGGAGATTTGGACAGTACCTGCTTGCCGCTGCAGGGAGCTGGACCTGGGCTCCGTGCCAGTCAGTAGGGGGCAGGGAAGAGGGGTTGGCAGAGGGAAGCGGGGGCAATGAGGGGACCCCCACTAGGCCCCATGCCTTGCCTGCTCCCTGAGCCCCCCTGAGCAGCCCCCGATCCCCGCCCGCTCTCCTAGCCTCTTCAATGGCTGTTTCATCTGGTCCCAGCTTCCTGGCACTTAAAAAAATACCCTGCACTCACTGGCTGCTACACTTTTTTAAAGTGCCGGGACACTGAGGCTGGGGAGGGCTGCCATTGATGGGGCTGGAAGAGTGGGTGGGGGATGGGGCCTGTTCGATTTGGAGACGCGGTCAATTCGTTGGCGGCCGGATCTTCGAATCAGATTCAAATTGATTTGGGACGGTGAATTGAATTGCTGTCCCCCAAATCATCTGAATTTGAATCCAAAGCGAATACTAGCTGCTTCGCACAGGCCTACTTCATTTCATGCAGAGTGGGCAGTACTCATGTAGTGAGCAGCTATTTAGCATCTTGTTATTTCTTCACTGTTCAATGTCTAAGCCATTACTTCCTCTAATTCACACTGTCAAACCTTGCTCTGAATATAGAAAAAATGGTCTTCCTTATAACCTTTCTGTGGTGCCAGTTACTTCATTATCTGTGTGCTTCATAAACGTTAATCCCTTTTCACAGCTGAGAAATGAGGAGGTAAATGGTTGCCTATTTTACCTAAGGGGAACAGATGCAGAGGGAAATTAAGATCAAAAATGTCCATAATCTTCCATGAATGTCCAACTGGAGACGATTAGAATCAGATTTTTTTCATTTATATGAAAAATGTATGTCCAAAACAGTTCCAATTAATTTTGGTAACAGCTGTGAATGCTCAGCCCTTCTGCAAAAGATCCACAGGATCTGAAGTCACTCACCTGCAAAATGAGGAAAAATCTGGTTTAATTGAACCAGAAGGAGCTTTGTTGCAGGCATACAGTCTAGTTCTCCAAGGTATCATTCAGCTGCCTCCTTTCTGCAAAGCCCTGCTTTATTTACTTCAGATCTTCCAACTCTTGAAATGCATGAAATGAAGCTCCTAAAATAAAAAAAACCCCTCTTGACTGCATAACCCTAAGTAATCCTCTGTCTAAAACAAGTCTGTTCAGTGGGATGAATGAGGCATGAATCCTGTATTCTTTGTGATTATGTAATTATAGACTATACAAAAAGAGACTGGGTTTAGATTGCATAGCCAGTTTTAAGTCTGACAGTTCCTAACTTGGGGTGCTTAACGTTTCAGCTTCAATACTGTGTTTTTTGTGTAAGTTCTAGATACAGAACACAGGCAGGATGAACTGTGTCAAACCTGATCCATGGGCCAGATGAATGGCACATAGCCAGCCCTGCTTCTGGAACGGGCCCACAGAACTGCTCTTGCCTGCTTTCCAGCCTCCCCCTCACCCCCCGATGTTGGATCCAGTGCATACTGTATTTCCTCTGACTGCCCTGGGACGCGTGCTGCAGGCAGTGCCTACCCCAGCCAATTCGGGACCCATGCTGCACATGGCATTTTCCCTGGAATAACTGTGGGAGTGGGTGGCACAATGTGTGCAGCACAGGTTCTGGACTGGGCTGAAGTGAGCGCTGTGTGTGGCGTGCATTCCAGACCAGTTGGGGTGGGTACTACATGCAGCATGTACATGGGCGGATCTAGAATTTTGAAAGGGGGGTGCAGATGATGAGGTGCATCATCACATGAAACAACACATTTTCTCCACTGAAAAACAAATTAGGATCTTTACTAATATGCTAAGGACCTAGGGCTATATTGAAGAAAAAAACAAATATAATTTCTTTGGAAGGAGTTAAAAATAGTCTGCAGAGCTATGAAATAGGAGCTTCATTACCAGGAACAGCTGGCAAAAGAATTGCAGAACAAACGATAGCTTGATTGATGGAACATCAAGACCATTAGAAAGAAGTGGGGAACATTAACACATGTGGAATGAAGAGTTTGGGAAGGATCAGGTACAATGTAAGAGCTGTGAAGTCAATTGACTCCCTCAGCACCACCTGACTAGAAATTCTGCTGCCACTGCCAGGCAGTTGGTTTTAAACTTTGGGTGGAGCAGGAATCAAAGGGGGGTGCAAGTGTACCAGTGGATCCACAGTGGTGCTGGGCACATATCCTGGGGCATGGGTTCTGCGTGCAGTGTGCATCACAGATTGATAGAAGGGCTGCCATGTGCAGTGCATGTTCCAGGCCCTGTATGTGGGGCTTTTATGACATGTTGCATATGCATCCACTGTGAACTAGAGGCAGTACTGGGGGCCAGATAATGGGCTCTACAGACTGAATTTGGCCTGTTGGCTGTATACACCCCTGCTACAGACCATCAAACTTGCCCCTTTTCTAGCAGATGACTATCTAAATCTTATAACAGCTTAGAAAACAGACAGCCTTCTGTATTACTAAGGGAAGTAGCTTTGGTCAATTCCTAGGAAGATGTTCTTGCTTCTGGTCATCAAGGCTCTATATCAAGCAGTCCTAGTTTTCCAAACCCTGGACTTCAGTCTTTTGAGAGATCTTAGTGATTCACACTGAGCCAGGTGGGCTTCTCTTTTCTCATTCAGCCAGTTGTAGTCTTTCATGTTTCAGATCTTTGTCTCCGTCTTCAAAGACTTCTTGTCTCTATCTGCCTTTCCTTTCCCCTCATGTGATCATGTCCCTTCTATATTTAAACTGGTAATCTTTACCTGCTACACTCCTGTTGTGCTAGCTGGGGAGAAGTGGTATTAAAAACACTGGTGAGACAAGCACCCTGCTCTCAGTTCAAGTGTCTGGCTTTACTCCTGTAATATTGAGATGGAATACACTCTCAGTCACTCTGTAATCATGGCACGTTTAGATGAAGTGCCATGAGGGAATGGATCATGCTTATTGTTCATGGAATTCAGGGAGATTTCATTCCTTAACATATAAGATGTTACTCCTGAGCATATGTGAACTGAATCTTTTTTTCCCCTCCAAAGGCTTGTAATTTGGTTAAACTTGGACAGATTTACAGAGGTGAAACAAAAGGTAAACCCTTGACAAAGTCACCATGTGTCCTACCAAAAATTTTAAGAGCCTGTTTGAAAGTGTGATGCATGGGGAATTGAGGTGGTTGTCACAACTTGTTTTTCTCTTAACATTTAAAAACAATGTATCCTTTCCTCACCTTATTTTGCTTGAAAAATAAAATTCAGCATGAGACAAGCAGTTAGTATGAGAGATATAAGCTTGAACTTGAGAGGAAAGAGAAGAGAGATTTAGGGTCTCACTCACTTGCTCTTAGGTTTGCAGTGGTTACTGAGAGCATGAAGTTGCAATACTATTGCAAGTCTGCTGTGACTGAAATGTATGTAAAGACATTTAGGGCAGAATCCTGTTCATTTTTTGCACCCAATGGCAGTTTTTGAACTATTTTTTGGAGCTTGCACCTAGTGTTGATCTTACTTCCTGTGCAGTGTGGACCTGCAGGTTTCCATGTTGCTACTGAGTATGCTTAGTTGGCTGCACTCTAGTGTAAAATGGCACTTGTGTATCTGGAAAAATGCCATTTGGATGTGTAAAGTAAAATGATTTTACTGTTATTTCCAGTAATCATGTCTGGGAAACGTTTAACAACAGATTTAAAAACATATGTACTTTAACTTCATCGAGCCTCTTAAAAAGAAGGAAAAAGTAGTACGGAAATCAGGTTCATCCAAAAACTTGGTTGAAGAAAAAGTTGTATTGTTTGAATTTTGATAGACTTTGGGACTAGATGGTTGGGGGAGTCTTTCAATATAATTCTAATTTGATTAAATTCACATTACCTTTTTATATTTCCATACTTTCTTTCTTTATTAGTGTGTAATCACTCTCAGTGCTTCAGGAAGTCACGAGGAGATAGAAAATACAAATAATTTTTTAGCTTTAATGTCAACTTTGCATGAGAGAGCTGGTAAGTAAGAAAGACAGGTAAATGTTAAATATTCTACTAAGATTAGCCTGTATGTTGATTAAAAACTTAGTTTCCTATGTTGACTAAAGCTACATTTTTATAAGTTCTGAGATACTGTTTAATAAATTACTTCTCATAAATGCTATTGTTAATCTTTATTGATGAAATAGTCCTTGCATGTGAAAATTTGTAAAAACATTTATACTGAACCTGAAACTTAGTTAAGTGTTCCTGCTGCTTCTCACATCTTCACAACATAGCTTTGCTTGATAGATACATGCTTGCAGTAATTCTACATTACTTCAAGGGACTGAAAAGCCTTGAAGGCTAAAGGATCACAGAGCAGAATAGGTAAATTTTGCATAATTTCTGTCTCTGATATTTGGATAAGAGATTACTGGATTTGGGAGGCTGAGAGATCTGCCACCTTGAGATGCCTGAGAGAGAGGTTCTTTACTTCTCTTGTTGGATTCTTAGGAGGATGCACAATGGTTAGCAAACAAATGCCATTGCTAGCTTTTCCTCTGCTTACACCTGGGGAGGGGATGGAAGGGTCTTTGTAGGCCAGGAACTGCGACTTTAGAGGTCCTGTTTTGTTGGGAATGCAGCCTATATTTCCATGTTGAGGAAAGCCAGGCAGAGGGAGCCACCTGGCTGGGGGAGTATCTGCTGCAAGAACTCCTCAGAAAACATGTAAGTGAGCTAAAAGAGAATGTCTCAGCTGCAAGGCAAACTGGAACTTAGTCACTTTTAGGAGTCCAGTGCTTAATAGGTAGAGGAAGGGTAGATTTGCAACTTATAGACTAATTAAATTATAGATCTATAGTGTAAGCTTTTGTAAGCTGGGGGCTCTTTGTCAGGTGCTGTGAAGGGACTGCAAGAAGCAGAGCTTCTGAATAGAAAGTAGTGATTAGAATAGAAAAGGTAGGGAAGTGACGAGGAAGAAGGAGAAGGTACTGCTGAGAGTCAAGGTGGGTAGGAGAGGGGGAAAAAACAGTTCACTCTTTGAGGGACAAAAGGGTTATAAAGTTAATCCAGGTAAGAATCTGTAGTCTTGGTTCTGAGCGGGGGTACTCAATGCCTGGCTCATGGATCAGATGTGGCCTGTGGCATTGTGTCATCTGGTCCACAGGGCTCTCCACATGTCTAGAACTTTGGCAGCATGAGAGCGGTGCCACTGCTCCCTTACTGCCAAATTTCCAGATGCATGGAAAATCCTGGGATCTGTGCACTGGATGGGATGCCCAACCTCAGTGCACAGGGCTTGGCACTGGGTGACATCGGGTTCCAGGGCCCAATCCCAATGTGGGGGGCTGGGAGAGCAGTGCCGGGCCCCAGGGCCCAATCTTGGTATGTAGGGAGTTGGAGGTGGCAGTGCTGGGCCTCTGAGACTCAATCCCAGTGTGCAGGAGGCTGGTTCAAAGAGATTTGGTGACAAAAGCTGCTCAGGTGAGCAAAAAAAAAATGCAAGTTTGTCAAAAGGCCAAAGTCTTAGGATGAGGGATAAAAAAAACATTTGAAATGGAGTGTAAGATAATACAGGAAGGAAAATACTTGGTAGTCTGCCACATGTCATAGATGTGTATACCATATGAGCAACAAACAGGAAGAATAAGAAGTCTTAGTAAAGAAAAAAAAAAGATTTAATCAGTATTGCAGAGGTCTGGTGGGATAAATCACTGGACTGAACTGGACTATTGATATAGAATGGTAGAATTTCCCTTTAGGAAAGAAAAGCAAATTAACAAGAGAGGACATGGTGCATATATTTGCACCGACGATGAGAAGAGGTGGGAGGTAGACGTGTTGGAAGTTTGTGGGTAAAGGTAAAAGGGGGACGTGGGGAAAGAACAGAAGAGATGCTATGGAGAAGTCTGCTATAAACCACTTAATCAGGAAGTTAAGCTATTTTTCTTCATGGTAACAAAAGCATCCAAAGGACTTATCCTTACCATCATCTGCAGTTTTACTTCCTATTCCTGTTTTATCTTCTTCAAGACTGTATAGCATTTGAATGAATGCCCCCTTTTGGGGTTACATGAACCCGACCTGCATGTTGTTCTGTGTTTTTTGGCTTCCCCCACTTTTTAGTTTAAAAAATTTCTGTATACCATTTTTAATTTTTAGTCTGGTAACATTTTAATTCAGATGAAGTCCACCTTTTCTGTACAGGTTCCCCAGTTCCTGATAAACCTAAACCCTTTCTCCCTGAACCATCATCTCATCCATGTACTGGGACTCTGGAGCCCTGCCTCTCTCTCTGGCTGTGTGCAAGGAACTCAAATGATTTTAGAGAACACAACTGTGGATATCCTTCTGGATTTTTACTTCCTGCCTAGCAGCCTAAATTTAGCTTCCAGGACCTCTCTCCCACACTTACCTATGTCACTGGTACCCATGCGGATTGTGACCACTGGCTTCTCTCCAGCATCCACGTCTTGTAACCTCCATTGGCTTTGCACCCAGCAGGCAAGTTATCATGTGGTCCTCCTGGACATCACAAACCCAGCTAATGGTTGAATTCCCCACTACTGCCACTGGCTGCTTTATATCCACTGGGGTCCCCTTCCTTGGAGGAGTATCCTCCATACAAAAGGTTACTATATCATCAGCTGGAAGGGGAGTCCTATCTCTCCTCTTTCCCAGCTTCATATTCTCTATCTCAGAGATTCATCCTCCTCAGCAGCATGGGGCTGTTATAGTGGATGTGGGACTGCTTTGCGATGTCCCTGAAAAAGCCTCATCCAGTGGATTAGCTGTTTGAGGCATCTTGGTCAACAGCAGAAAAGCTTTTGAGACCTACCTGGCAAAACAGGATGGGTTCTTTTTTTGGTATGTTAGAAAACTTTTAAGTTATCAATGTCTTTAGGGCTAGGGACAGACATTCAAAAAGCAGGAGCCTGAATTGATTCAACCTTTGCAGGCTAGTCTGACCTGCAGAGGGTGAGTGCTTTGTAACAAAACAGACATGCGGGCACATGCCTGCAGTTGCTTAGGCCAGGAGCCAGGGGTACCAGTGCACACCCTCAGCTGCAGGGAAACTGTGCTGGGAGGGGGACCTGACTAGTCTGGGTTGAACCGGCCAGAGAGGGATTTAATTCCACCCCCTTGCTGTGCCACCATCAGAGACCTGAGCTGGGTCTGCTGATTGCCCTCCACCCCTGCTGTAGGAGCAGGCTGCTCCCTGTGGCAGAATAGGCCCCTGCTGTCCCCTCCACCATCTGGTGGAGGGAGGGGGAATAACCCCGTCCCTGCCCACCCCTCCCCAAAGGGCCCTACGGGCTGGCTGTGCCCCTGCTGGGCCACTGCAGTGGGAGAGGGCCTTGGTGGGGTCAGAAGCCCATCACAATGTCTGGCAGCACAAGCCCTTTCCTGGTGGGGGCCATGTTGCAGGGTGGGCAGAGCTGTGATGGGCTATGTGCGGCAGCATCTGGGCCTGGAGGGGGCCAGAGCTCCAACAGCATTGCCACTGCAGCCGCTTTCCTCACTATGCAGTGTGCTCTTCCCCCACTGGGGAGGGGCTCCTGCCCCATCACGGTTGCTCCCCCCTTGACACTCCAGCAGCTGGTCAGGGGCATGGCTAGATGGCATGGGCTGGGTGGATCTGACTTGTGCAGGGGCTTTGTCTGGACCCCAGCAGGTCCCTCAGTCCCACCAGGCTGAGGTACCATTCCCTGGGCTTTCAGCAGGGCTGGTGCTCCACAGGAGGACTGCCTTTTTTGGCAGCCTGGCTGCAGCAGCTCCTTTGCTGCTGCTGCTAGCCACTGGCCCCAGCTCTGCGGTACAGGCAGGAACCAGTGCATGTAGCCCTGACCCCAAGTCAGCTCCAGGCTCACCAGTCCAGGCTGAGCAGCAGCGGTGGGAAAGAAAGGCTGCTCAGTGCAGGGGGCAAAAGCCCCTCCCCTTCCTGCTGCTGACGCTTCTAGGTGCAGCCACCTCCACCATGTCACTGGTGCAGTGGTGCCAGCAGAGCAGACACAGGGCAGTCTGGTGTCGGTTCCGGGTGGCTTCAGCCGATGCCAACAGCGGCAGGGGGAGGGCCGATTTTTGCCTCAAGCTGAGCAGCTGTTTCTCTCCCTGCTGCAGCTGCTCAGCTCAGACATGGGAGCCTGGAGCCAGCGCAGGGTTCAGAGGCCATGGTGACCGCTGCTGCAGCAGGAGGGGGGAGCAACCAGTAGACCCAGCTGGAGTCCCTGCCGGTGGGACAGGGAGGGGGGGACTAAACCTCTCCCTGGCCAGACCCTCACCCCTGCCTGTCCCTGCTCTGGCTGGGGAGCAGAGGGGCCATGCTGGCTGGGCTGGAGCAGAGACCCCAGCCCAGAGAGCATGCTGGGATGCTGAGGGACTCTGGTGTATCTTAAATCAGCAAGGGGTCTGGCACAGACATTGCATAAACCGGTTTAAGCTAAATCAATTAAGTCTGATACTGCATTCAACCAGGTTTATCTTAAACCAGTTTCAGCCATGTTGAAACTGGTTTATGTGCACTGAATGTCTGTTCTGTTACAGGTTTAAACCAGTTTCTGATCACTTAAACCAGTTTATGTGTATTACTTGTCCCTAGCCTAGGAGAGCTAAAGATCTTTAGGAGTGCTAAGGATCTTATACTCTTGTGGAGAGGCAGAATGATCTATTCTTAAGCTCAGCCAAACTCAAGACTCTTGGTGACCTTGGCGCAGCATCCACTAATAAAGGGTCAAAATGTGTTTTCCCATCCTATAGGAAGTTACTTTCTAGTAAGGGGAATTCTTCAAGGCATGTCCATATGTATATTCTGCATCCTGCTCACCATCTCAGTCTCAGAGACATTTTTCTACCTGGGATTCTGTGGTTGCAAGTTTTCACACTCCACCTTTTTAAAAAAATTGTGTGTGAAACACAAGGTGATTCCACATGTATAGTTATCATGAGCAATGCTAGGCAGAAATTTGAGTTCAGGTGTATGCAGATGTTTCCATTAATTGTGGAAATGTGCACATGGACTTTGCATCTTGAAGAAC